TTTATTAATACATATGTGTCCATGTGTGTTAATTCAATCAACTGTGTAATTGCAAATGCAATTAACAGTTAATTAAGCATCATTTTGTATACTCTAAGCCAGACTAATGAGCATAATTATGAAACTCTGTTATTATTCTTAGGGTACTGTTGTCTCAGAATAAAGTTATTTCCTTTCAACAATTTCAGTTAAACTCGTTATCAGTATACAATTAAATTGTCTTTGAAATCGGTTGTTAACCTCTTTGAAATAGTCTTGGCGTAAATGCAGATTTTTTAAATTTTCTCAGTCCCTGGTACCTTTGGTTTACTTAACGTAAAATATTTTACTTTTTCATATTGTAACATTTAATAAAAGTTAATAAATCCCAAGTATGGATGAATTTAATAATTTATTAAAAGAGAAATGACGATTGGTAAGTCAATACCAAAAAATAACCAAGACATGAAACGTGACCGAGAAGTTTACGGCGCTCTATATTGTTATCTCCGAGTTAAAACGAGTATAATATACACTCATGGCGGGCGGCATGGATAAAATTAAAATAATGTAGGTTGCCATTTAAAAATAAAATGAAATATAATTGGTAATGGCATCAGCAATATTACTGGAAGAATTGTTATTAGGAGTCATAAAAAATGGATAAATGTATACAACGAAAGAATTGCGTGATTAGGCCATAGAAAAAAAGGGAGACAATTTTTTCCATACTGAAAAAATCCAGTAAAAAAAAAAAATTAATACATATACATATTATACCATTGGCAAGCTAAAGAATTTAGAAAAAAATAATATGTAAAATATACCGTGGTGGAAGGTACTGAACATAGACGATAAAAGCATTTATTTCGTATTCACTTCACGGTTGGGAAAAAACATGTTAAATAATTGTTTTAAATGAATTTTGCATCCTCTTACCTTTATATTGAAATTTATACTTCTATTCAATGTTGGGTGTTATGTAGACGTGTGATCAAATATATATCTCTATAAACGAATCCTACGGTGATCTTTTGATGAAAACCTGTGCCTATTTAAAAATGTTTTATAATAATTCAATTCTAGTGAATTTATCAATTTCTTTTTTAGTAGCAGTACTAAATTTGCTTTATAACCTTTGAGTTTCGTCTTTAGAGACGAGATTATAAATATCTGGTTTTAGGATTCCCCGTGTAGCAGGTGAGTGCCCGATGACGTAGAACAATTGGCACTGACGTCTTTCTTGGCTGACACCGCAACATCCAAATGACCCGTCGCGTTATTTTATTTTTGGTTGTTTGTATTTTAGAAGATTCGAAATTCAAATGAGTATCATATCATAGTCATTAAAAAATAATATTGAAACAAAATTCATCGAATTTTAATCAATTTCAATTAAATTCTTATGAAGTTACGTAATCATCTAAAGAGAAATAAAATTCTTAATTTTTTTTTTATTGAAAAATATTACATTTTGCCTCAAAGGACATTTATAATAGTGTTCAGGGATCACATTCACACTGAAAATTAAAAGAATTTAAATTAAGAAAATAAAAAGAGAGAGTTTGAGAGGTCCTATTTATTATTTTGTATTCTATTAATCGGGCAAAATTCAAATTTAAAACAAAATAACACGATTTTCAACGGTTATATATCGTTATACAATTTATTAAACCTGAATTTTTTATCTTTCCCAGAAATTTTTTTTTTTTACACCGAGTTTCGAGAAATATTTTTCTCACTCAGTTTACGAAATACAAAATATAAAAAACATAAAGGATGGAGATGGTCCAGGGTGGCGGTCCTAAAAAGGCTAAATAGTGGCAAAACTATTTTATTAAAAGCCAACGTTTTGACCCGACTTTGCAGGTCTTCTTCAGGGCTAGAACGGACAAGATACAAAAAGGTATAGAATAATCTATATCTTTTTTTATCTTATCCGTTCTAGCCCTGAAGAAGACCTGCAAAGTCGAGTCGAAACGTTGGCTTTTAATACAATTTAATAAAATTTGTTTAATAAAATATTTTTGCTACAATTCAGCCTTTTTATAACCGCCACCCTGGACCATCTCCTTCCTTTATAATGCAACGGTCAACTATTAAATATTCAATATAAAAAAGTATCTTTTAACTGATAAATTAGGCTGTTGAGGAAATAAAAAAAATATGACTGTTTATAAGTATTAAAGTTTTATCCTGTTGTCAAAGCTGTAAAAACTTTTGATCTCTTTTCCTTAGCGCCATCTCTCTAAATAGACACATGAGTCGCTCCGACCGACATTTCAGCACGAAGAGAGAAAAAAAAAGAAATGAGATAAACTGTTCAGTGTGAAGGTCACTTCATTCATAGAGGCTTGCGTGCGTTTGTCTGATAAATCTTTCTCTTGCGTAATAAAGGGAAATAGAAAAAAAAAGTTTGTTTTTTTTTGTTATATTTGTCACAAACCAAGAGAATGATGAACCAGGAGTAGCTTCGTGAGTTCATTTGTTTTAGAAAAATATTACTGGGCATCTCGCTTTTACATGCATTATAGATTTAAATAATTCTAAATAAATTATATTTAATTTTTTTTACACTCATTTTTAAATTGGAAATCTGAATTTTTTAAATGATCTGAAGAGGAGTTTCGGTTGAACTCTCAAATCCTCCGTTAATATTAATACAGCATTATTTAGTTTCTAATTTATTTAGTTTTAATCATTTTATAAATAATAATAGTTATTATTATTATTATAGACTGGAGGGATACCCCCTGTCCCTCTGATGGTGGACCAACCCCCATTTTACTTGTTCACAGTGTATAACTTTAATTTACATATATTCTGTAGTTTAGATTGTATTATTTTATATCAACATAAAATAAAACAAACAAGATCACAGTTCAGCCAAAATTTTAATTTCTTTAAAAATCTATATTATGTATCGTTATTATTGCTAATTTATATTATTATATAATCATAATTATTCTTATTGCCAATTCATAACCATAATGTATATTTAAATTGTCTAGCTTCATTTAAGCTAACAATAATTTGAGCCTTTTATTTCTAATATTTCCATTGTGTTTTATTTTCTATTTCATAACTATTATAATTATATCACAATAAACTCAAAAACTCATGTTTGATATCTCGGACTACACTTGGACAAAAACTCATCTGGAACATACGCACCAAATTAAAAAATATACAAGAACTGAATAAATAAATAATATAAAATAAATAAAATAAAATATAATATAATAATTGACATATTGTATTCAAGGGGAAATGTTTACATCGATAAATAACTTCTGTCACTTAGGTAAAATCAAATTACCATCTCCAGATGAAAATACCATTTCCCGTACAAATTTTTGATCCAAAATCTTCAGTTTTTATTAGGAGCGTAGGAGGTAACAGGAGCTTAACACTTTTGTAGTTAAATAAACAGCTGTGTAATTTGCAAAATAATTGCATAATAAGTTGATCCTGTTATCTCCTACTCTCCTATATAAAAATAAAGTGTGAAAGTCACCAAAAACTGTTTTATGTAATAGATATATTCAGTGTCGGAACTAGGATATTTCCAAAAGGTATAAGTTTTGTTGTGCCGCCAATTCTTTCATGCCCCCCTATCTGTAAATGTTGACTTTTTATAAAAATATTTTAAGTAATTTATTTTGAAATTAATATCTACATTTCAAGGGATCAACTTATTCTATTGAATGAATTTAGTTCATAACAAACCAAAAAAGCTTAAAAAATAAATACATAATTTATTGGTAAATACATAATGTAATTGGTAAATTATTGATCTGAATGATTGATAGCACAAATCTTCTCTGTTCCAACACTAAAGCTCCTCATTACCCCACCTTAAGGATCAGATTTCAAGTTTTTTTTTAATCCTTGAACTATTTTACAAGAATTATAATAATTATAGATGTGTTGTAAATTCAGTTAAAGGAATTTTTTTTGGGCTACTATTACACCAAAAAAATTGACTTCTTAATACCTATTACTACCAACGAAATACAATGAAATAAGTAAATACTACCGATATTGTATCTTTGATAAATAGGTATTGTGAAACAAAATACTAGTAATATGTTTTCACCCTATTGCTTTAAATACATTCGTAGAATGATCTGTTGGCTTATAATATTAAAATTTTATGTTATGATTGCCGTTTATCTATTTGAAGAATAGGTCTACCTCACTCCCAAAATTTGAGGACTTCTTACCTCCTATATTCAATCATCAAGAGGAAAGTTAAAAATAAATTAAATGCAAAGTCATTATTGATATTCTAATTAATTATTAAACACTGTTATCTCTTGTGAAGCAATAACTTAATTCGCGAGTATAATTTAAAAAAAAAAATCAATGGCACAGTGAAGTTCTCTCAGCTTGACTAGGAATAAAATTAATTTTTGTTGAGAGGTTTTATTGTTAAGATATTTATCATTAAGGTGTTTTATTATTAAATTATTATGTTTTTCTTTAACTTATTATTATATTTTCTTGATTATCACTAAAAACTTTAAGAAAAAATAAAATAGAACAATATTTCTGTTCTAGTGTTTTTTATTTTTATTTATTACAGTGTTAATAACTTTGTTTTTATTAACAAATAATTTAATGTAAATTTCATCTTATTCCAGTTTGGAAGGTCGATTTGAAGATGAAGAACTTAGGCAGATTTTAGACGATATTCAAACCAAAAGAAGTTTGCAGTATTAGGTAAATTATTATTATTTTTTTTCAATGAAATAATTGTTAAATTTTACTTTTTAAGTTGGATGTGGTGAATGGAATCACAGAGAAGTAATGAAAATAAAAACAATCCTCCTTCAAATGTGACTGATTTTTAGGATATAAATGTTTTTAAGTGGTCATTATCAAACAATAAGTGATCCCATTTATCAAATATTTAATATTAATGTTATTTTTGTCCAAATAATAAGAGAAAGAATTTTTGTTTTGTGATTAGGTAATAAAGTTTGTGTTCGCTGCAATATTGTTAAGCGAATCAAGAGGAAAATAAAACAAAAAAAACGCTTGGCTGATGATCCTTCGGACCCTCCTTCCAGAATGGCTGTCTTAGATACTGTGCCATTTATATCTCTTAAAAATACTCGTTGTTTGTATCGAGGAGAAGGAAATGCTAACCTAGTCATTACGATTCCGGATGAAAAAGTTATTATTAGAATGGAAAAATGTGATTATCATATGAAAATTAGTAGTGAAATTATAGAAATGCGAGAGAACAAAGTCAAAAGAGGAGTCGAATTCCATTTGAAGATAATAATGCCATTTTTAGGAAAGGCATTTATTCAGCCACCATTATTGGGAAGACTTCATCAAGAAGAGATAGCTGAACTGGACTTGGAACTTTATGAAAAACGTCCCAAGTTTCGTCTAGAAAAAGGAATCCGCTATGAATTATTTACTATACATCCAGATTACACTTACCTGCCTCCTGCCTTAATAAATAATTCGACAGAGAAACCATTGAATGGATCTTCAGGCTCTAAAAAATTGGCAAAGATGCATAATTGTTTCTCACAAATTGGCTTTTTATCATACCTTCCAAATCAGATTAAAAATTATCAATCTAATGAACCAACGTACTGTATCGAAATAAAGCCAAAGCAAGGTTGGGTTTATCCATCTGACAGGCACCATCCAAAATGTACTTATTGTCTAAATCAGTTTGTAAAACTGAAAAAGAAGAGAATAATGCGGAAAAGCGACTATTGTCCTTTAGATTTGTTCTCAGGTAATCTGAATAGAATGAAAAAGGCTATCAGAAACTTAATAATTACCCCACAAAACAATCTCAAAATCTTTAAGAATGGTGATCTTGTGTATGGTGACGAGACCAAAAGAGATATTACAGAAATTCTCTCGGAGTGGTTAGAACCCCAAAATAAAATTAATAGTTTTAATGAAGAACGGCTTTTAGATAAATGGGTTTCTCTTGTTGCTGAGGCGTTGATGAAGCAATTAACAGAAGAACCCCCTTTTAATTTAACTTTGATTAATAATAAAATTGAATCTAAAAATTATAATAAAAATGCATCCCCGCTGAAAGGAATAATAGAACCGTGTAACTGGTCCCCTAGCATTCTTCCTAATAATTGTATATTAAACAGGATTTTGATGATGCAGAAATTGCAGGAGCTGGATTTCTCATCGTTATATGACATTTATTGCAACAAGAAGAGTACTGAAGGAGATTATGACTATGTTGACAGGTTGCTCTATTATAGTGAACCCCCGGGTGATATTGAAAGATATTTACTATCAACTACAGCTAAAGACTGTTCAATATTTTTAGCTTTTCAACATACAATGTTCAAATCTGATAATAGCCTCCATTGCATTCAAGACTATGATGGAACTATGTATTGGATGAATGTAGGAATATCAGATATAGATCCGAAGCCGCTCTCATGTATTGAAAAGCATTACAAAAGGGATAAAGATGTAGTCGATGCGGTTTTTAAATACATCGAACAAACTGGATGACCCTTGTTTATAGCTATTTATTATCCGATTTATATTTGTGATCTTTAAACTTGCCCTAGTTTTTATAATTGTGTTATTGTGTTCTGTTTGGTTTTTGTGCAACATTATTTATAATGTCTATGTGGTTTTTAAGTGATCATTATTTATTTTTAAATAGACTTGTATTCAATAATTTTTGTGATCCTTGTTATAATTTTGTTTTTCTAATTCAGTTTTTGAAGCGAGCAATCATAGTTAAAGTCTGATCCGTCCATTAGCTGAAATATGTATTGTTGCACGGGCTAACAAAACCACTTTTTTACATGCAGTATGTATAATATCTATGTATTATAACTTCATTTGTATTTAAAACCAATACTCATTTTACTTAAGTGTTACATTATTTAATTTTTTTATAATTTATTCAATGTATGAATTCACGAAATAGTTAACCATGACACAAACTAACACTTCATATTCATGCTTGTAAATATATACATGTTACATCCTCAATTTCCTAAATTAAATATTATTTATTGCATAAATGTTTTAATTAAATTGTTGATATTTTTTTATTTATGTATTTGTTCTCGTTTTTGTTGGAATATTTGTACTTTGATTTTTGTTAAACATATTTTAAATTATATTCGAATATTAAATATTAATTTATTTCTAAATTAAAGCCATAAATATGAAGTAGCTTATTAGGCAGTGGTAATGTCCACCATGCCAATGTATTATGTAATATGAAATTAGAAAATAAATGATTCAGATATTTTTTTAATCAGCAAGTAATCGAACAATCTTCTTACATTGAAACAATGCCAGAGGATTGTTTGTTATAATATAGGACAAGTTTTATACTTTTTTTAAAATGTACTTAATGTGAATACCTAGTTGTACTTTTTTAAAGTGTTAAATTAAAGTCATCCAGTATCAAAGTTTTTTTTTTTATTAAATTAAAACCATGAACTAGGTTCCGGAGCACATTTTTACCTATGTTTATTTTTCCACAGAAGAAAACATGATTCTGCTTGAAACTAGAATATATTTTTCAATTATTTCAAATAAATTTAAAATTTGCTTCATATCCTCATTCATGGCTTTGATTAAATTCTTTCTCTTATGATTGAAGTGTGTTGTTTTATCTTCTCCTTCTTTGTGATAACATTCTTCCCTTCCTTTCTTCTTTCCTTCAAGCAAACCTTTTTTATACTTTTGCAATGTTGAAAAAAATATTATTACTTTCTGCCCATCTTCATGTTGATGTTCTTATTTTTGTAATCTAATTTTATTTATAAAACTCTCGAATATGGGCTGCGAAAATTCATTGTTTATATGCCACATTATTTTTATTCATTCTTTTTTTTTCTTACCATACTCTCACAATTTCTCAGCCTTTAAAAAATATTGGATTTTAAATTAAAATATGCTAATTCTATTTTTTTTTTTTTTTTAATATTGATATTTTACCAAAAACATTATCCAAAATATAGCCTTAATTATTAGGTACTGTATAAAAGCAATTCAAAAACTTTAATTTTTCTCCTTTTTTACCATTACTATTCTAATTTTAATTAAAATCCTCTATAAATTAGAAAAAATTAAGTATAACTTCAACATGTAAGCTGATTATGAGTATTTATAAAAAGATAAATTTAAATCATGTTAAGTGAATATAACTTTTTAAATTGGGTATTTAAATTAGTGCATTTTTATTCAAGATATAAAAAAAAAACATAGTGTTAGTCCCAATTCGATTACTTACTAGTCAATTCAAACATCTTCAGTAGTTAATTGAAATTATTTGATAAACAAATAACCCAATTTGTCAGTTTTTGTTAGTAATTACATTATCATAAAAAGCAATTAAATGATATCGTATAATACAAAGAAGGCTTACTTCACAATTTTCAAATTTATATTTAATACATACTATTAAGTCTTGCTAAGTGTTAATTCGACATATGATGTTAGTGAAATTTTTATTATAAAAGAGGTGCCTTAATTATTAAAATGACTACTTTGTAACGGAATTCTTCATTTTGAGAGGCTTACGAATAATAATTTGGACCCTTGCCTTTTAGAAATTTATAGAAAATAATTTATTCAATAGTTATGTATTAAATCATAAAATATGCCTACCTATCATCCACGTTTCATTAATCACCTGATTCAGGAAAGGTAAATTCAAACTTGAACTATTAAATGTTATATTTACTAGTAGGCCCAGGCGAAAAATTTGCACAGCATATTGTTAAGTGATCAAATGCCAAATTAATAAGAAAATAAAATAATTCAACGTATCATAAGATAAAGAAATGAATTGTTTTTTTTATAGATTTGTATAATCGACAAAGGAAACAAAAATTAATTTAAACCTTCATTAATGTTTGGAAGCAACATGTTAACAAATTTCAATAAGCTGTATCTTTGCTAAAAATTGTTCGATTTCGATGATTTTTTTTCTTTTTGTAGAAAATTTAGTAATCTTTTATATGATCATGGACATATCATGGGGAAAATTATGTAATTATTTTAGTTATTCGCAAATAAAATTTCTTTTCTTTCATAACTTTTTTGTCTGATTTTTCGGGTTGATAGCACTATTTTGCCCGCCTGAGGGAGAAGGAAGCCTTCAAAATCGGTGGCTCAATCTTGAGATTTGGTGAAGAATTAATGATGATGTGGATTGACGATAAATAATATAAAATCATCCTCTCTCGATCATAGGGGCCTTGGAAATGAAGTCGGGAAGTCAACGAAATGAGACATGTATTCAATGGCAGTACTACAATTAACGTTAGGTTGTGTGGATGAGAACCCTTTGCCTTGCGCTATCTTGAAAATAGTATGTTTATGGACTTAAAAACTCAGGGCCCAATGGTTCCGAAGGAACTATCAGGGTCTTGCTGTACGCATCAAAATCTTCAAAGCCCGATTTGTCCCGTATCGATCTACAGCCTTACTACAGTTGCAGTATTGAAGCCTAGCAAAATGTTTGTATCGACTTTATTTATTTTAGAAAGATAAACAAAAGCAGATAATTTGATCCGCTAACCTGTGAAATTTTGAATCCAACGGTACCCCATAGGAACTTATATTTGGTACAAAACCGATTTCGAGCCTTACTGTAATAATATATGTGGGGATTATTTCTCAAAGGTTCATTTTTGTCGTTATGCTATAATTTCTTTAACACTTAATAAAAACATAAACTACCTTCTCCACTAATGCCGAAAAATAAGTACATCCTTCATTAAAAGCAGGAAGGACGTGAAAAAGAAAAGACAAATTTAGTGTCACATAATTCAGTAAGTACCTATTTACTATCTATGATCAATGGCCTTCATTATCATTACAAAGGTGATTTAATTCCTTCAAAATGACAAAATAAAAAATCTTTGAAATTTTACTATTATTAGCAAAGTTAAAGCCTATTTATATTTGTTTTTGTTTATTATTTTTAATAATGAACATTTATAATAGACTATTAAAGTAAGTTAGTCCGACTGTTCTACATATCATGGGAGATAACTTTGGCACAAATAAAAAAAATTTTATAACTGCGTCCTGACTATTTATCACCCATGATTTATAATAGACCAAGAAATAGATATTAACCTCTGCTCCCCTACATTTACTTATTTCCATATTATTTTATCATTTTGTAATCACTAACCATTATACTATGCAAATTATTCTCATTCACTAATTATTTACAAAATATTAGTCCAGAAACATATCAAAAAGAAATCGTTTCAAGAATAAACAACTGCTGTAATATACACCACCGTACTTCGCATTAATGCACTATAATATAAATTTAAGATCATTGGGAGTCATCTCTCTTCATTTACTTTGTCATACAATTATCTTTCTATAAAATATATTTAATTTTCTTTTAGAGAGACTGTATATCTTGTTTGTACATTTGACACTTCATCCTTAATGAAAATGTGGATCAAAATTTCAGATTTCATTAAATAATTTTTTACTATTTTTGAGTTTCTTTGATCATCAATCAGACCTTATCTCTGTTTATCAATATAGGTAAGCATTAAATATTTAATAAATAGAAAAATGTTTAAAATAATTCTTGTTTTCAAAATGAAAATCAAGCTTATCCCTTATTCTTGTGTGAAGATGTTATAAAACTACTGTAATTGTTGGATTGATTGTAATGTCAATTTTTATCTAAGTGGATCCCATAATATAGTATACAAAGTCTAAATTAGGAATGTATAATGTGAATGAGGCTTATACTTATTCTGTGATAATGTGGTAGGTTTGCCAATAATATCGACTTCCAAATCAGACAAATACAATTTAACTGTTAACAATTTTCCATTTTAGTGATAGTGGTATTGATATGCAGTCAATGTGATAATAATTAACATTTGTAGAATTCATTTGTTTTTGTTGTTTTTTGGCTTTAAGACTTGTAAAAGCAAGTCCTATTTTGCCAATAAAATATTTTAATCGTCATTGATAAGATGAAATTACACTGGATATTTATTGAATATATCTAGATAGGTGATCACTGAATGTAACTAAATATTGAATACAGCTTATATAGAACTTAAACTATAAAGACTAATAGTTAAAAACTGAGGTGACAGTAGTTTCATAACAATTAAATGTGAATAAGAGGTGACTTTTATTATATAACTGCTTTTATGGCATTCAAAAACTTTATCAAGTCACAGGCATTATCTTTATTCATCGATCGAAGTTAGCTCCATCATCCATAGTTTGCAGTCCTAAACTCTTTGCTTTATTCTTTCTTTACTTCTCGAATCTTTCGCACTTGAAGGCAATGTGTCTTGGATCCTCCAAGCATTGGCATGTAGGACAGTAACCACTCTTAGCTATACCCATTAGATGCAGATATTTATGAGTTCTACAATGATTTATCCTAAGCCTGGTCAGCTTTACTAAGATGGAGCAGTCAAGATGAAATTTAAGAACCACAAACCATGGAACCAGTGCTATCTTCTGTTGAACTGCATGATTTTTTTATTGTTTTACAGTGATAAGTAACAAACAAATTTTTTTGAATCTATATGTTCTTTTGGGATCATCCATGGTGCATAAAATATGTTTCATTATGTTATATTTATTTTTTCACTATTTCGAACTACGCTGTAAGGCCATCATCAGAGGAGGACTCCAACTTTCAGCATAAAAGTGAGCTACAAAAAGAAAAGTGATTTTATTCTCTACAAAATTAAAAAAAAATTAAATTTATGTTTTATTATCACTCATAAAGTTTTACTTATATTATTTTAGTCATATTATTTGAAAATGTGCTGTACAGCACTGAACATGAAGCCTAGCCGAGGGTAGGCTTAGACCTTTTTTTTAAAAACTTTCTTATGATATTTACAACTGTATTAGTATGAATACATCAAGTAAATGTGTACATAGGAATATTATCACATGAAACACGCTTGTTGAGAAACTACCCATTGGTAGCACTCTAATTGGCTTAGACCTAAAATTGGGAATAGTCTTTGGTCTGATCTTGTAGATTTAAGTCTTAACAGACATTAGGGGGAAATAGGTATGTAGGCTATAGTTTATAGTATCTGTATTTGTTCCATTAACCTTGATGTTATTAAATTCTTGAAATAATTTACTATTGCATTTATAATCTACTATTAATAATAATAGTGGAATGATTTTGGAACTAGTATCAATTAAATGATTTAAAATAAAAGTAAGAAGCTCAAAATTGGTGTTGAAATTAATGTTTCTATATAGCTCAATTGTTTTTCTGTCACGGGTTAGAAAAGAACAGGAACGTGCATATGCTCGATGTTGATCTTGTGCATTTTTAATTCACACTTTTGAGTCAACGTTATTAAAAACCATAATTTTAAATGTCTAAAAAGCCCAATTGATTAAAATTTTAATGAGCTTAACAATTTTGTTATAAAAAAAAAATTTCTTTTTTTAAGCTATTAACATTAATTTCCAATGATATTTTGAGTTTCCTTTCTGAGTTAACGATGTTTAAATTATATCTTGATTCAAGAACTTTTCTCTTAATAAAAACTCATTAATTTTTTTCGGGATGAGAAGCTTGGTTTGATGAATGGTTTCTGGATTTGCTCAAATTTGAAATTAGGATATATATATAATATGATGAGCTCTTGAATCGAGCACCGTTTCCAGACCATGTCCCTTGGTCTCTTAAATGGATGTTATGTGTTTATATGAGTTTTTTTATATATTATTGTTAGAGAATTTAATAAAATATTTATTTCATCTAGTATTACTTTCCATATCAAATGTACCAATAACATTAAAAGGAAAAGAAATCAAAAATTAAAATTAAGGATTCAAAACCTCTCACTCAAATATTCCAAAACCCTGTATTGAATCACACTTCAATCAAAATATGCATTGCAGAATAGAAGAATAACAACTTTATATTTATTTATTTATTTTTATAAATCATTAAATCACGGTATGTTACATAAAAATTATATTTAACCAAGGCCATTGTCTATCGATTGGTGCCATAAATAACCTATAAGAATTGCATAAATAATATATAGTATTTTTTTAAAAATAAATTTTATTAGTTTGAAATTGTCAATGTAGCAATAGTGAATATGGAATTTATATATGAAAGCTTATATTCAAAGTATTAAGCATACAATTACATTCTAGTATTTGCTAAATTAATTATTAGAAAAGAATATAAATTAATACAATTTAGAATATTACTTATTTCAATTCATGTATAATTAATTAATTTAAGAAGAAGTTAGTCAGGGTGTGAGCAAAAAATACTATATTATATAGTATAAGAAGGAGTTGGTTAGGAGGTGCGGTCAAATAAATAAATGCAATAATTTGACCGTACCCCCCAACCAACTCATATTATGATCACGGTCAACCATCTCTACACTATATTATATAATAGTATATTTTATTACATATGTTTATACCTACGTTGTAGGCCCCTCTCAGGACTATGTAAGATACAAACAATATATATTAGTTATTTAATTATACATAAACTATATATATTAATTATAAAAAGTTATAGTATATCTATATGACTATTGACGTTCAGTTCAGTTGGGAAAGGTAATGAACTATTAGGATAACTGGAGTGTATTAAGGAATATAATATAATAAAATAAAAAGGAATATTATATAATATACTCCAGTTATCCTAATAATCCATTACTTTTCCCTATTGAACTAAATGCCACTAGTCATCTACATACAATTTTCTATAACTAATATATATTGTTTATATATAATTAAATAACTAATGTATATTGTTTATTGTTTATATCTTGTATAGCTCCGAGGAACACCTGAAACATTGAACAATGTAATAAAATATAATATTTTTTGACCATGTCCCCTGACTGACTTCTGAAATTGAATCCATGGTCAACCATCTCCATACCATAATTAATTAATGTTTGATGAATGGATTAATATTAATTATGTGTAATACACTGAAAAAAAATGAGATTTTTTAAAAAACATTTCAGAAATACTATGAAGAAAGAGACTGATATAAACGTCAAACTAAAGAAAATGCTATAAATTAATAATGTTTATTTTGTTAAACTAGATCTAAGGGCAACAAGTGAGAAGAAATACTTAATTTTATTTATTCTTCTCGTTCTTGAAATTTTCTTTCCCCCATCATAAATCTTACTTCAATAATCTTTGCCACCTCTGCAAACATCTCATGCATAAAACAAGGAATTTTCTTTCTAAAATGTCATTCCAATTTCCTTTTTCCTAAGTTTATTAACATTTCCTCTATCTTCTTATCTCCTTATCATTATTTGCCTTTAAATTAAAAAAGGCCTATTGTTATCACGAAGTCAGATGCGTTAAATGTGCCGGCCTACACGCCGGCTTCAGACACTTGCCAGAAGCCAAGAGATGAGCCTGCGACGTGTGCTCTTTGTGGCGAAGCCCATCCTGCGAGCTACAGAGGATGTGAAGTGTATAAAAATCTTTACAAACAAAGATCACGAAACTCAGCGGTGAAAAATCTTGGATCTGCTCAGAAAACTTACACTGATGCACCTGAAATTGAAAATCAGGAAATTTTCCCAGCATTGCCGACTTCACCTTCCCTTGTCATCCAACAACAACCATCCATCTCTACAGCTAAGGACTCGCCTCACCAGAATCTCAGAAATTCTCACTCCCAGTCTTCCATCAGTAAGAAGCAGCCTCAACGTCAGGCGCCTCAGGCCTTCCAATCCAAGCCCAAAATCCCTAATCCTCAGCCTCAACCTCGCCAGCAAATCCCTCCTCATCATTTACCCTTAAGAGTCAAACTCCCGCCAGAGCATCCACATCCAGCTCCATTCGTTCCTAATCCCAGGATGAACCCCCCTCCACAAGTCCAACAGAATTTAGATCCTCCTCGTACCCCACGACGGGCCCATCCCCCACCCAACATTCCTAGTCGCATAACCTACTCATCACAACCTCCTGATCCAAACCCACTTCCCAGCCAAACACCATCCGACATCAACACTATCTTATCGTCATTCCTGATAGATCTTCAACAGCCTATCAAACCGCTCATAACCCTTCTAACCAGACTCCTTTCCGAAATCCCGCTTAGCTTCCCTCGATGAACACGAAGTCCCTAGCTATTCTCTTATGGAACGCTAATGGACTGCAAAACCACCGTGACGAACTAGACATATTTCTCCATGACAATTATATTGACATTGCTCTCCTGACAGAAACTCACTTCACCCAACGGACACATTTCTACATACGTGACTACATCACCTATAGATCTGACCACCCAGACAACACTGCCCACGCCGGTTCTTGCATCCTTATCCACAAATCTTTACCCCATTCCCTTATTCATTCTATTCCAACAGATGCCATTCAGTCAACTTCTGTAATCCTCTCAACTCGTCCTTTCCATCTAACACTTTCAGCTGTATACTGTCCTCCTGGCAATTCCCTCTCGTACAGCCTACTTGAATCCTTATTACAATCCCTCGGATCGCGCTTTATTGCTGGAGGAGACTACAATGCTAAACACCAATGATGGGGTTGTCGATCATCCAACTCCCGTGGTAATACCCTTTCACAAGTTTCTTCTTCCAACAATTATTCCATCCTCTCGCCCATGAATCCTACTTATTTTCCAACATCCCTCAAAAAACGTCCCGATATCCTGGACATATTTATCACCTCCCAGATTTCCTCCTCCCAAACTATAATCAAATCCCTGGATGACCTTTCTTCAGACCATAGTCCAGTTCTGCTTTCACTACATTCTGACTTTGCTCCTAAACCATCACTTCCTAAACTGATCACTGGACGAGTAAACTGGGACAAATTTCGTGATGATTTGGAAAACAAACTAGACCTCAAAATCCCGCTAAAGACAAAAGAAGACATTAATTGTGCCATAGAAAAACTGACATCATCAATAACAGACAGTATAAATAATAACACATTTATCAATAAGATTAACTTCCCACAAAATACTAACTTGCCACAGCATATTCGTATCTTATTACAGGAAAAACGCAGAGCAAGATCGAAGTGGCATAGGACTAGATACCCAACAGATAAATCGCATTACACCCAACTGACTAACAAACTGAAATCAGAAATAAGAAAATACAAAATTCAAAATTTACTAAATTTTACTGAAAAACTTACAACCACTGACAAATCATTGTGGATGACCACCAAAAAACTTCTTAAGTTTCAAGACTTTAATCACCCACTACTTACTGATTCCCAAACCTGGTCCAAATCCGACGAAGAAAAAGCCCAACTATTTGGTCAACATCTCTTCCAAACTTTTAACCCACATCCCGATATCCTTAATTCAACTCACATCAATTGTATTGAGGCAGAACTGGATATTCCTCTCCAAATGTCTCTGCCACCCAAAGCATTTCATCCCATAGAAATATCCAACATCATTCAAAAATTGCCTTCCCATAAAGCTCCTGGACATGATCTAATTACATCCCAGATCCTAAAACTTCTTCCTCGAAAAGCCATCCTATTCCTTACTTACATATATAATGCTGTACTCCGTTCTACATATTTTCCTGATCCTTGGAAACGATCTATTGTTAAAATGATCCACAAACCCAAAAAACCACCAGAATACCCATCCTCTTACCGTCCTATCTCTCTTTTACCCATCATGGGCAAGATCCTAGAAAAACTCATCTTAAAACTCCTGTACCCTATCCTAAATTCTAAACACATAATCCCAGATCACCAATTTGGTTTCCGAACTTCCCATTCCACTATACAGCAATGTCATCGTGTGGTAGACGTAGTATCCTCTGCATTGGAGCGCGGAATGTACTGTACGGGAGTCTTTCTCGACGTTGAACAGGCGTTTGATAGAGTTTGGCACCCGGGACTGCTGTACAAACTCCGAAAATTCCTACCACCTACATACTTCCTCATTATCCGTTCTTACCTTACTGATAGATACTTTAAAGTAAATCACAATAACGCCTATTCATCCCTTTTTTCCCAGTCCGCTGGTGTTCCTCAAGGTAGTATCCTAGGTCCTATCCTCTATACAGTTTATACAGCTGACATCCCAACCCATCCCAACACTGTCATCACCACATATGCCGATGACACATGTATCCTATCAGTAAACAATGACCCAGCAATTGCATCCCAAATGCTTCAATCACACATCATAAATCTGGAAGAGTGGTGTCAAAACTGGAGAATTAAAATAAACTCCAATAAATCCCACCAAATTACCTTTACCCTTCGTCGTAAACCAACGACTTCCTGTCCTACAGTTTCCTTTAACAATACTCCACTTATCCCTGTTGAGCAAATCCGATACCTAGGACTCCACCTGGACAAACGACTAACTTGGAATCCTCATACTAGACTGAAACGACAAGAAACCGCTCGACGTTTCCGATTACTTCAGCACTTACTAGACAAACCCTCTAAACTTCCCATTAATTACAAAAGACTCATATACTTGACTATAATAAGACCTATTTGGACTTACGGAGTTGAGCTATGGGGCTCCACTAAACCATCGAATTCCTCTCGCATCCAATCCTTACAATCCAAAATCCTTCATAAAATCCTCAATGCTCCTTACTTTGTCACTAATAAAATTATCCATAAAGATCTTAATGTTCCTTATGTTTCAGATCTGGCCCAATCCAGATACCTATCCTTCCATAATAAACTTCAGAATCATCCCAACCCTCTCGTTTCTAACCTTGCTTCCTCTTCAATTCCTGATAACCCTCCGAGGCGTCTGAAAAGAAGATGGCCCCGTGATCTCCTAATGTAGTCATATCATTAGAGTGCTACCATTGGGTAGTTACTCAGCAAGTGTATTCATGTCATTATATCAATTATGTCCAAATTTACTTGATGTATTTATGTAATACAGTTGTAAATGTCATAAAGAAATAAAAAAAAAAAAAAAATTTTAAAAATCTAAGAAGTTGTTCAACATATCCATTTTCTAAAGTAAAAATTCTTAACCCTTACACATCAGTTTAATATTGATATTTATTTATGGAGATAATATGAAAATTTCTACTTCTATTTCTACTATTTTTAACATAATGGATGTTTTGAAAAACCCGTTGAAGCCCTAAAACTGAGGCTGAAGTCTTGGCACACATGAAAATGTTTTCTTTTTATTTTGTCACTGATAAAATGATTATTATAAATACAATACCTCATTTATTTTAATTTTAAACATTCTTCATAATTCTTGCTAGACTATCCTGTTTGTCCTTGTTCCAGGTCAATAGTGTTATCATTAAATATAATTAATGTGATACATTTGAACTGTTTAAAAACTTTTAACTATCTTATTCATTAGTTATACTGATACATTAAATTGTTATTTCGTTGAACATTATTGACAAGTATCAGTCATAATTATTTTGAACTATTGGTAAGTATTGTATAAATTCAGTGCACACATTATTTGTAAAATATGAAACTTATAGGATAAATATATTAAAACTTGGCTGGTAAATTTACTGTAGAATATAGGAAAAAATTGTAGGAAATGAGTTTCACTTAGAACAGTTCTAAAACTAACTACGGTTCTCCTTGCTGAAGACCTGCAAAGTCGGCTAGAAAAGTTGGCTTTTAGTAAAATAGTTTTACCACTATTTAGTCTATTTATGATCCCCACCCCAGACCATCTCCTTCCTTAATAATACAACGGTCAACTATTAAGTTCAAAATAATTCCTTTAGTTAAAATTCTGTTCTGTTACTAAACTGATGTGCAGTGAGAATTATAGCAACCTATTAGGTTTTTGTAGAAGAAAGAAAAGGTAGACTGTTTATTAGTGCATTAGTTTTCTGATAAACTGATTACAAATGATGGAGTTAGATTCATGATTTCATTAAAACATATTCTGAAGACATCAACTTCTGTGGTGGGTTCCACTGGATCTTATAAGAATAATGGACTACCTGTTACTAACTGGTTAGTTGAAATTGTATAAGTTGATTTAAAAATAACAAGTATGGTATTCTGATACATGTATGGAGGTTATCTGTCCAATCTCCAAAGATTAATAAAAAACATGAATTGTAAGACGTCTACCACCAAAGTTCAAAACACATATCTCTTGAGAAATCAGAATATAATAACCATGGTCTGTTTGAAACTGAAGGATTATTGGTAATCATTAATGATACCAATGAACAGATGTTATAATTTCTTTCCTAATTTATTATTCTTAAATACTACATTATTGTTTATATTAATGCTCTTATTAAATTAAGTCATCCCTCATTCCTCTTAAATATAAAGTGTAAAATTGTAAATAATAATCAGCCAATATGTAACTAAAAATTATGAAGAAGGTATTTTTTTTGTTTGCTGTTGGTGTTTAGTTCATCTTAGTATCATTTTTGAGCTACTCCAAATTTAAAGGATTGTATAGAATGATGATGGATGAACTAACTCTATATTGGAATTTTGATAATCGTAGGATGCCTTCTACGAAACACTAATATTTCAGAACTAGATTCAATAATCATTTAGCAGATTCTGCATTCATGTTGTTTTAAATAAAGATAATTAATTTTAATTAATAAATAAATTTGTCGTCCTGCCTCTTCTTATATAAGTTTTTCAAACTATTTTTATTGTAAATTATGCTTAGAGAAAAAATTTTGAAACAATTGAAAATTTTAATGTAACATGTTTTTAAACTTTTAGGAGTATCACCCTATCTTTTTTTTTTATTGTAACAGATATGCATTGATCATAATTAGTAATTTATGAAGTATTTAAGTTAGTTATAGCAAGAGACTGATTTTCTAGTATAAAAAACAACTATAAATCTGTAATATAATTATTGGATCATGCAATGAAATTTATCAAATATGATATTACTAAATTCAAATCCTATAAATGATTTCTCTAAATAGTATATATACACTATTCATTTACTACTGTATTTGATGTTATTAAATAATTAAATTAAAAAGTTGTGTGAAATTTAAAGAAATATAGAAAACAATAAATGTAAGTGACATTTTGTCACTATTATTATGTTTAGCAGTTCTGTTTCATGTTTAAGCATTGTTGCTCACAGGATTGCTTTTTCAGGAAGAGAGCAAATAATGAATTTCATGGTGATAAAAAATTAATTTTAATGGTTTTCGTGACAAAAGCAAATTAAAACGAGCTGATTACAAATGATTATTTACAGGTGTAAGAAAGGTGTGTAATTTTCTAATCACTGATTATTGGTAAGAAAACCTTTAATTTTTCTTGGAAGGCTGATTTATCAGGTCTGTGAGATCAAGTTTGATTGGCAATCATTCTATCAAAAGTTAATATATCCTATTCTCATAAATAGGATTTTTTTTTACATCCAAATCTAATGTTATTTATTTTTCAATGAAAATTTGCCTCTACCATTTAGCTGTAACTGATTTACATTTGAAGTCAGAAAATTTATAAATTATAAACTTGAGATGCCTCTGTATTACTTTTCCAAAAGTTTAAATATATATATCATGTGACAGATAAAAAGTAAAGTCATTT